ACCCTAACCCTAACCCTAACCCTAACCCTAACCCTAACCCTAACCCTAACCCTAACCCTAACCCTAACCCTAACCCTAACCCTAACCCTAACCCTAACCCTAACCCTAACCCTAACCCTAACCCTAACCCTAACCCTAACCCTAACCCTAACTAGGAGTCTGGTCCTTGAGTGGATTTTTTCCCAATTATCCCCAAAGCGTTCCTGAACATGTTTTCGGTCGAAACTTCGGGAGCAGATTCAGGGGGGGGTGGGACCAACATTCCCGGGGGGGGGGACCAAAAAAAAATTTTTTTTCTTCTGTTGACCTCCAAAGTTAAAAATCTGAAAAATATTCACGTTTTACCCAAACTTCCGGTAACTTTGTGCGCATGCGTAAGTGGGCGTGGTCTATCCCTGTGCCAATTTTTAAGATGATTGGTTTAAAACAATGGCGGAAAATGTAAATTTTCCTCTATTTTTCAACACTTTTAAACCCCTCACCCCACCCATAACAGGGTTAGGGTTGAAAATGCGTGTGTTCGTTGACCTGTCAACATGTTATAATTCAACTAAGTTTTGGCAGAAAAGAACAAAAGGAACTTTGGGAAATGTTGAGAAAGAACGTGAATTTTGACCTTTTCGAAGCTTCCGCATCGCCTTACGTGGACGGTTTTTGAGTTATTGGATTGACTTGAAACTTTGTGCTGTGATACACAGAGGCTTTTCCTCTCGTGTGTTCGAGGTTCGTGGAAAAATATTAATCCCCTAATATTTTATAGATTTTTAAAAAGTCATACCTAAAATAATGACACTTTACAAAAAAATCTGTAAAATATTCCCATTTTAACTAAATTGCCCCAAACTTTGCATGCATTTGTAACATGTTTTGGGCAATATTATTGCCAAGTTTCAAGAGGTTTGTTTAAATGGAAAAGCAAGAATCAAGGACAGAAAAAATGTCATGAGATGTTGAAAAAACGCCCCCCCTGAAAATCCACTCAAAGACTAACTAAACTGACGTAGGATAATCAGGGCGTGGTTCTAAACACGTGACAACACCCACTTCCGGTTTTGAGCCTGTTAGAATGATATGTCTAATTAAACACATATCCATTAAAGGACCAAAAAAATCCACGAAAGGACCAAAAAAATCCACCAAAGGACCATTTGTTGTTAAGATTTTATCCGTTCTCAACCAAATTTGGATGGGGTCATCAGGGCGTTGCCCTGAACAGGTGACTACGCCCACTTCTTGTTTCCAGTTTTTTAGACTGATATATGCCTGTAAACACATATCCACCAAAGGACCAGAAAAATCCACTAAAGGCCCAGCAAATGCACAAAAGGACCAGTAAAGTCCACAAAAGGACCAGCTGTATTATAGAGATTATATTTCATCAAAATTTCATCCATTTTCAACTAAAGTTAGGTGGGATAATTAGGGCGTGGTCCTTAACATGTGACAACGCCCACTTCCGGTTTCGTGTTATACACACTGATATATGTAAAAAACCGCATATTTCCAAAGTTAAAAACGTTTTCAGAAAAATTTCTGAGAATATAAAATGTTGCAAATCACATCAGAAAATACATATAAAAATTTCACGGAAATATATTAAATTTGAAAAAATCCACTAAAACATGAATCCACTCAAGGACCACCAAATCCACCAAAGGACCAGTGAAAACACAAAAGGACTACCTGTATTATACAGATTATATTTCATCCAGTTTTCATCCATTTTTAACCAAAGTTGGGTGGGATAATTAGGGCGTGGTCCTTAACATGTGACCACGCCCACTTCCTGTTTCGAGCTTTTTAAAACATTTTTTAACTATGAAAATATATGGTTTTTCACATATCTCAGAGGGAAAAACTCCAAACCGGAAGTGGGCATGGTCACATGTTAAAGCCGACGCCCTAATTATCCCACCCAAGTTTGGTTGAAAATGGATGAAATCTTGATGAAATATAATGTTTATAATCCTGCTAGTCCTTTTGTGGATTTTCCTGGTCCTTAAGTGGATTTGCTCGTCCTTTAGTGGATTTTTCTGGTCCTTTAGTGGATATGTATTTAAACACATATATTAGTCTAAACTCGAATACTATCAAACTCGGGCGGGGTAACTAGGGCGTGGTCCTAAACACGTGACCACTTCCACTTCCGGTTTCGAGTTTTTAAGACTGATATATGTGTCTAAATACATATCCACTAAAGGACCAGAAAAATCCACTAAAGGACCAGCAAATCCACCAAAGGACCAGTCAAATGCACAAAAGGACAACCTGAATTATACAGATTATATCTCATTAAGATTTTATCCATTTCCAACCAAAGTTGGGTGGAATAATTAGGGCGTGGTCCTTAACATTTGACAACGCCGACTTCCGGTTTCGTGTTATACACACTGAGATATGTAAAAAATCGCATATTTTCATAGTTAAAACCGTTTTCAGAAAAATTTCTTAGAATACAAAATGTTTAAAATAACAACACAAAACACATAAAAAAAAATTAACAAAATAATATTGAATTCTTAATATTTTGAAAAAATTCCACTGAAGGACCATCAAATCCACTAAAAGACCACTAAATCCACTAATAGACCAGTAAAATCCACAAAGGGACCATCTGAATTATTGCTAAAATTTTACCCAACTTCAATATCAGGTGTGATCTCTTTGTAGATACCTTGATCAAAAAGTCTAAAGAATATTTCAACGTCAATCAAATTCCGCGAAACTTTAGCAGGGTAATTAGGGCGTGGCCCTTAACATGTGACCACGCCCACTTCCGGTTTCGAGTTTTTCCCACTGAGATACCTAAAAAATGGCTTTTTTTCATACTTAAAAACGTTTTCTTAAAAATTTCTTAGGATATAAAATGTTGCAAATCACATCAGAAAATACATATAAAAATTTCACGGAAATATATTTAATTTTAAAAAATCCACTAAAACATGAATCCACTCAAGGACTACCAAATCCACCAAAGGACGAGTGAAATCCACAAAAGGACTACCTGTATTATACAGATTATATTTCATATAGATTTCATCCATTTTTAACCAAAGTTGGGTGGGATAATTAGGGCGTGGCCCTTAACATGTGACCACGCCCACTTCCGGTTTCGAGTTTTTCCTACTGAGATACCTAAAAAATGGCTTTTTTTCATACTTAAAAACATTTTTTTAAAAATTTCTTAGAATATAAAATGTTGCAAATCACATCAGAAAATACATATAAAAATTTCACAGAAATATATTTAATTTTAAAAAATCCACTAGGAGACCAGAATCCACAAAAGGACAAGTCAAATGCACAAAAGGACAACCTTTAATAAATAGAATATATTTCATCCAGATTTCATCTATTTTCAACGAAACTTGGGTGGGGTAATAAGGGTGTGATCCTTAACATGTGACTACGCCCACTTCTGGTTTCGAGTTTTTGGCACTGAGATAACTTAAAAACGGCATATTTTCATAGTTAAAAACGTTTTCTGAAAAATTTCTGAGAATATAAAATGTTGCAAATCACATCGCAAAATACATATAAAAATTTTACGGAAAGATATTGAGTTTAAAAAAAAATCCACTGAAGGACCAGAATCCACAGAAAGACCACCAAATCCACACAAGGACCAGTGAAATCCACGAATGGACCACCTGTATTATACAGTTTATATTTCATCAAAATTTCATCCATTTTCAACCAAAGTTTGGTGGAATAATGAGGGCATGGTCCTTGACATTTGAACATGCCCACTACCGGTTTCGAGTTTTAGACACTGGGATATGTAAAAAATTCGTGTTTAAAGGGTTGAAAAATATTTTCAAAAAAAATTCTTAGAATATAAAATGTTTAAAATCACATCAGAAAACACATACAAAAATTTCACAGAAATATATTTATTTCTTAATATCTTGAAAATTCCACTAAAGGACCACATTTACATATTTACAACAATATCAAAGTTTAAAATCTAATCTTGGGGTTGTTGTCATGATGGATAAGCTATTTTTTGATGTCCTGTGTCAAATGAGAAAGAATGAAAATTTTGAGACAGGATAGCAATAAATTAACATAAATATCAAATATTTTTCTTTTGATGATGACCCAGAACTTTTAGCTGCACTTGCACCTTAAATTTGAATATCTTACCTTCAGCGAAGGCTCAAGGCTTCTTGGCTTTTTACTTGCATGCTTCTTTATCTGTTAATGTAGAAAAATTGTGAGTCTAGTGAGTGAAATGGAATAAGCAGTTAAACAGAATATCAGCTTATTCCTATATATCTCCATTGTAAAACAGAACTTACCTTTGTTTTGTGTGTCCTCTTAGTCCCTTTATGAGGGGACTCTGCCCTTGGTCGCTGGCCTGAGGGTATCTCCTCATCACTGTTAACTGGGGACTTTGCCCTTGGTCGCTGGCCTGAGGGTATCTCCTCATCACTGTTAACTGGAGACTCTGCCTCTTGGTCGCTGGCTTGAGGGTATCTTCTCGTCAATTTCATCATTGCGGGCCTTTTGTGTTCTGTCCCCCTCAATCTTTTCGAACACAAAAGTTCCCTCGCTATCAGTATCACTATCATCCTCATCTTTGCTAGAATACACCTCTTTTTCCATTTTTTCTTTCTAAAGTTAAAGGGTTTTATATTTCATATTGTTCTCCACCATGCAAGTGAGCTAACATTTCATTCTCTTCCTACCTTGTCCAGGGGCAGGTCTTATCCTTTTTTGTCCATCTGTAGGGGATAAATCATAAAAAATATTTAATAAGAGCCTGAATTATTGGTGAAGGCTCCAACAGAGAATGAGCATGCCCCTGGTGGGTGACCATGCCCTAAGTGCCCCATCCAAGTTTTGTTGAAATCCGTTGAAACTGCCCTGAGAAATTGCAGTCTGCAGTTGTCACTAAATACATGATCCACCAAAGGACCACTAAAATCCACCAAAGGACCACAAAAATCCACAAACGGCCCTGTGTCGTTAAGATTTTATCCGTTTTCAATCAAAGTTAGGTGGGGTCATTAAGGTGCGGTCCTAAACAAGTGACCACACCCACTTCCAGTTTCAAGTCTTTTATACTTATATATGTTGTTAAATACATAATCCACTAAAGGCCCACTAAAATCCACTAAAAGACCACAAAAATCCACAAACGGACCAGACTAAATCCACTGAAGGACCACCGATTGGAAGTGGGCGTGTCAAAAAATCAAAGACCACGCCCACATTCCCCCCCCGGAATATGGGTGGAATTGGTAAAAACCCCCGCGAGATACACCTTTCCAAAGTTTTAAAAAAATAAAAAAAAATACTTAATTAGCTTCTAGCTGGACGTGGGCGTAACCCATGGTGGGTGACTACGCCCCACATACCCCACCCAAGTTTTGTTGAAATCCCTGCTAAGCGCTCTGAGATATCACTGTCCGACGTAAACGCCCCATTAATAATAAAAATCCACTAAAGGCCGACAAAAATCCACAAAAGGACCAGCGACCGGAAGTGGGCGTGGCAAAAAATCGATGACCACGCCCACATCCCCCCCCCGGAATATGGGTGGAGTTGGTAAAATCCCCCCTGAGATACACCCTTCCAAAGTTTTAAAAAAATAAAAAAAAATACTTAATTAGCTTCTAACTGGACGTGGGCGTAACCCGTGGGGGGTGACCACGCCCTACATCCCCCACCTAAGTTTGGTTGAAATCCTTACTAAGCGCTCTGAGATATCACTGTCCGACGTAAACGCCCCATTAATAATAAAAATCCACTCAAGGACCAGGGAAGGAGGTCCAGGCTTGTTAATGAGATCAGTGGGTGATGATTTGATTGACAACTATTTTGTAATATTTCACTTTCACAATTTCGCCAACAATATTGCAAATATCAAACAAATTGCACGTTAAATTTAAATAAAAACATTATCATACACCTTAAGAGGTCTATCCTTCGATATGAATGACTTTAAGGCCCACACAAGCAATTAAAACGACAAATTTGCGACAATTTCTTGAGAACAATACAATGCAACCTTCTTCCTCGAAACGAACTTTCACTATTGTCTAAATATTGCATACACCAGCATGACATTTTCCACTTAGAAAAACAAAATCCTTAATATTAAAAAATGAAAATTTTGGACATTTTGACCAATAACTCAAGTTCTAGACACTCCCATGCAATGAAATTCATATCGTTAGATTCGTCTTTGTGAGAGGAATCTTTTGATAGCTCTTACAAAGCTGTACATAGCATATTTCTCTTTTAACAATTGAAATTCTGAGTGTTATTTAATTATCTCAAAATGACCTATTTTGGAAACATTTTCTTTAATATCTCTAGTTCTATACATGCACCTGCAATGACAGTGCTATCATTAGATTTGTCTAAGTGAGATGAATCTTTTGATACCTCATACATAGCTGTACAATGCATATTTCGTTTTTAAAAATTTTGAATTTGAGTGGTTTGGATAATTAGTTATAGTATACACATTTCCACTAATATCTCCAGTTGTTCACTCCCTTGCAATGAAAGTGGTATCATTAGATCATCTTGGTGAGAGGAATCTTTTGATAGCTTTTACATAGCTGTACATAGCATATTTCTCTTTTAAAAATTGAAATTCTGAGTGTTATTTAATTATCTCAAAATGACCTATTTTGGAGACATTTTCCCTATATCTCTAGTTCTATACATGCACCTGCAATGACAGTGCTATCATTAGATTTGTCTAAGTGAGATGAATCTTTTGATACCTCATACATAGCTGTACAATGCATATTTCGTTTTTAAAAATTTTGAATTTGAGTGGTTTGGATAATTAGTTATAGTATACACATTTCCACTAATATCTCCAGTTGTATTCACTCCCTTGCAATGAAAGTGGTATCATTAGATTCATCTTGGTGAGAAGAATCTTTTGATAGCTTTTACATAGCTGTACATAGCATATTTCTCTTTTAACAATTGAAATTCTGAGTGTTATTTAATTATCTCAAAATGACCTTTTTTGGAGACATTTTCCCTAATATCTCTAGTTGGATTCCTCTCTGTGAGACCAATCTTTTGATAGCCCATACATAGCTGTACAATGCATATTTTTAAAAAAATTTCACAGAAACATATTAATTTTAAAAAAATCCACTAGGAGACCAGAATCCGCAGAAGGACCACCAAATCCACAAAAGGACGAGTCAAATGCACAAAAGGACAACCTGTATTAAATAGAATATATTTCATCCAGATTTCATCCATTTCTAACCAAAGTTGGGTGGGATAATTAGGGCGTGGTCCTTAACATGTGACCACGCCCACTTCCTTTTCGAGCTTTTTTAAACATTTTTTAACTATGAAATATACGGTTTTTCACATATATCGAGGGAAAAATCCAAACCAGAAGTGGGCTTAGTCACATGTTAAGGGATACGCCCTAATTATCCACCAAAGTTTGGTTGAAAATGGATGAAATCTTGATGAAATATAATGTTTATAATCCTGCTAGTCCTTTTGTGGATTTTCCTGGTCCTTAAGTGGATTTGCTCGTCTTTAGTGGATTTCCTGGTCCTTTAGTGGTATGTATAAACACATATCTCAGTCTAAAAAACTCGAAATACTATCAAACTCGGGCGGGTACCTAGGGCGTGGTCCTAAACACGTGACCACTTCCACTTCCCGTTTCGAGTTTTTAAGACTGATATATGTGTCTAAATACATATCCACTAAAGGACCAGAAAAATCCACTAAAAGGACCAGCAAATCCACCAAAGGACCAGTCAAATGCACAAAAGGACAACCTGAATTATACAGATTATATCTCATCAAGATTTAATCCATTTCCAACCAAAGTTGGGTGGAATAATTAGGGCGTGGTCCTTAACATTTGACAACGCCCACGTCCGGTTTCGTGTTATACACACTGAGATATGTAAAAAATCGCATATTTCATAGTTAAAACGTTTTCAGAAAAATTTCTTAGAATAAAAATGTTTAAAAATAACATCACAAAACACATAAAAAAAAATTAACAAAAATATATTGAATTCTTAATATTTTTGAAAAAATTCCACTGAAGGACCATCAAATCCACTAAAAGACCACTAAATCCACTAATAGACCAGTAAATCCACAAGGGACCATCTGAATTATTGCTAAAATTTTACCCAACTTCAATCTCAGGTGTGATCCTTTGTAGATACCTTGATCAAAAAGTCCGAAGAATATTTTCAACGTCAATGAAATTCCGCGAAACTTAGCAGGGTAATTAGGGCGTGGCCCTTAACATGTGACCACGCCCACTTCCGGTTTCGAGTTTTTTTTCACTGAGATACCTAAAAAATGGCTTTTTTCATACTTAAAAACGTTTTCTCAAAATTTCTTAGAATATAAAATGTTGCAAATCACATCAGAAAATACATATAAAAATTTCACGGAAATATATTTAATTTGAAAAAATCCACTAAAACATGAATCCACTAAAGGACCACCAAATCCACCAAGGACCAGTGAATCCACAAAAGGACTACCTGTATTATACAGATTCTATTTCATATAGATTTCATCCATTTTCAACCAAAGTTGGGTGGGATAATTAGGGCGTGGTCCCTTAACATGTGACCATTCCCACTTCCTGTTTCGAGCTTTTAAGACATTTTTTAACTATGAAATACGGTTTCACATATATCAGAGGGAAAAACTCAAACCGGAAGTGGGCATGGGTCACATGTTAAGGGATACGCCCTAATTATCCACCGAAGTTTGGTTGAAAATGGATGAATTCTTGATGAAATATAATGTTTATAATCCTGCTAGTCCTTTTGTGGATTTTCCTGGTCCTTAAGTGGATTTGCTCGTCCTTTAGTGGATTTTCTGGTCCTTTAGTGGATATGTATTTAAACACATATATCAGTTAAAAAACTCGAAATACTATCAAACTCGGGCGGGGTACCTAGGGCGTGGTCCTAAACACGTGACCACTTCCACTTCCGGTTTCGAGTTTTTAAGACTGATATATGTGTCTAAATACATATCCACTAAAGGACCAGAAAAATCCACTAAAGGACCAGCAAATCCACCAAAGGACCAGTCAAATGCACAAAAGGACAACCTGAATTATACAGATTATATCTCATCAAGATTTTATCCATTTCCAACCAAAGTTGGGTGGAATAATTAGGGCGTGGTCCTAAACATTTGACAACGCCCACTTCCGGTTTCGTGTTATACACACTGAGATATGTAAAAAATCGCATATTTTCATAGTTAAACCGTTTTCAGAAAAATTTCTTAGAATACAAAATGTTTAAAATAACATCACAAAACACATAAAAAAAAATTAACAAAAATATATTGAATTCTTAATATTTTGAAAAAATTCCACTGAAGGACCATCAAATCCACTAAAAGACCACTAAATCCACTAATAGACCAGTAAAATCCACAAAGGGACCATCTGAATTATTGCTAAAATTTTACCCAACTTCAATATCAGGTGTGATCTCTTTGTAGATACCTTGATCAAAAAGTCTAAAGAATATTTCAACGTCAATCAAATTCCGCGAAACTTTAGCAGGGTAATTAGGGCGTGGCTCTTAACATGTGACCACGCCCACTTCCGGTTTCGAGTTTTTCCCACTGAGATACCTAAAAAATGGCTTTTTTTCATACTTAAAAACGTTTTCTCAAAAATTTCTTAGAATATAAAATGTTGCAAATCACATCAGAAAATACATATAAAAATTTCACGGAAATATATTTAATTTGAAAAATCCACTAAAACATGAATCCACTCAAGGACCACCAAATCCACCGAAGGACCAGTGAAATCCACAAAAGGACTACCTGTATTATACAGATTATATTTCATCCAGATTTCATCCATTTTCAACCAAAGTTGGGTGGGATAATTAGGGCGTGGTCCTCAACATGTGACCACGCCCACTTCCTGTTTCGAGCTTTTTAAAACATTTTTTAACTATGAAAATATACGGTTTTTCACATATATCAGAGGGAAAAACTCCAAACCGGAAGTGGGCATAAGTCACATGTTAAGGGATACGCCCTAATTATCCCACCGAAGTTTGGTTGAAAATGGATGAAATCTTGATGAAATATTAAGTTTATAATCCTGCTAGTCCTTTTGTGGATTTTCCTGGTCCTTAAGTGGATTTGCTCGTCCTTTAGTGGATTTTTCTGGTCCTTTAGTGGATATGTATTTAAACACATATCTCAGTCTAAAAAACTCGAAATACTATCAAACTCGGGCGGGGTACCTAGGGCGTGGTCCTAAACACGTGACCACTTCCACTTCCGGTTTCGAGTTTTTAAGACTGATATATGTGTCTAAATACATATCCACTAAAGGACCAGAAAAATCCACTAAAGGACCAGCAAATCCACCAAAGGACCAGTCAAATGCACAAAAGGACAACCTGAATTATACAGATTATATCTCATCAAGATTTTATCCATTTCCAACCAAAGTTGGGTGGAATAATTAGGGCGTGGTCCTAAACATTTGACAACGCCCACTTCCGGTTTCGTGTTATACACACTGAGATATGTAAAAAATCGCATATTTTCATAGTTAAAACCGTTTTCAGAAAAATTTCTTAGAATACAAAATGTTTAAAATAGCATCACAAAACACATAAAAAAAAATTAACAAAAATATATTGAATTCTTAATATTTTGAAAAAATTCCACTGAAGGACCATCAAATCCACTAAAAGACCACTAAATCCACTAATAGACCAGTAAAATCCACAAAGGGACCATCTGAATTATTGCTAAAATTTTACCCAACTTCAATCTCAGGTGTGATCTCTTTGTAGATACCTTGATCAAAAAGTCCGAAGAATATTTCAACGTCAATGAAATTCCGCGAAACTTTAGCAGGGTAATTAGGGCGTGGCCCTTAACATTTGACCACGCCCACTTCCGGTTTCGAGTTTTTCCCACTGAGATACCTAAAAAATGGCTTTTTTTCATACTTAAAAACGTTTTCTCAAAAATTTCTTAGAATATAAAATGTT